TAACCATTCAGTATTTCCTTTTTAGGTTTTAAAATTAGTCCATTTTTATGTGATGGCTTATGATGTTACGCACTGTATCATATTTTTTTTTATTAATAAATTATTGCCTTTATTACACATTATATATAATATGATGATATCATGTCGATCATTTTATGAATATCGAATATCATGAAACACTAAGCAAGCATAGTCTTTTTTAAATTTCTGTTTATTGTACGTAAATTTCAAGATCAATTTTCCTGATCCTAATGACTGGTGTTGTGAATTATATTTCTTTTATTTATTCTTTGAGTGAGATTCAGAGGAAGACATAAATAGAACGTTTAAAAAGGACAACGGATCATTTTTCTAAAACGTTATCTCTTTACATTTGACAACTTTTATTTTGAAGCTCTGCTAATCGTTATTATATGTTTTCATCTCTTGTAAACCGATTTTAACTATAAATGTCCTTACTATTTTGCATAAGTGAATCGAGCAGGCGAATGGATAGATGATTGTGTGGAGGAAGTCGATAATTTTGTTAAGGTGCGTTCCTGGAGACGATGGCGAGCGGTTAAGATACACATGTTCATGCTGCAAGATTACTACCCGATTAAAATTAAATTATTCGAACACTCTATATACTAAAAGCCCTTGCGATATTTGGTAAAACCATTGACGATGCAATTTCTTGTTAAAATTAATTCTTCAAGAAAAATAAATTTTGAAAATTTTAAGTTAACCCCATTTACAATACCCTGAATATGAATTGGGATGAAATTAACCAATCAAATTCTTTATAAATCAAAATGCATTTTTATTATTATTATTTTATTAATAAAAAATGGAACCAGAACACAACGTGGAAGAAGAATCAACAACATCTATATCAACTACAACACCACCTCATTCACCACCTCATCCACAACCTTTGTTGCCTTATCCACACTTTACCAATCATACTCCAATATTATTTCAACATTCACCAATATTTGGTAATTTACAGCTTATTCGTAGTAATCCTCAATTAACTAATTCGATCGTCGAAAATGATGCAAGTAGTTCAAATAGTACCGACTATAATAATAGAAATGATAGAGGTCACACTTCTCCAGCATTTACCTCGACTGCTACTCCTACTTCTACTACAAATGTTCTTTCAAAAATGATTGATAGTGAACAACAAGAAAGATGTCAAAGTGCTGCTAATGCTCTTCAACAATATTCTTTATTTGCAATGCATGTAATACCTAGTGGAGAGGTAATTTAATCTATTTGTTCGTTTGTATGTTTTGCTTGTTTATTCATTTATTTTATTAACACATCAACTTATATATAGTCTCCCGCAAAAACAAGAATACGAATGTTACGGTATTTATTATGATTATTATTATTATTATTACAATCATTTTATTAAAAAAAGAGCCGATTAATTATTTTCTTTTAAATATTATAATTGTCTAGTTACTTGGCAGATCTTCCACAACATAACCAGAAAAAGAAACCTAAACATAAAAAGGCTTCAACTAAACCGCTCAAATCAATATTAAAAAACATGAATAATAATGATAATATGATGAGTGATTAACGTTAATCATCATCACATTTTAATTAGACAATTAGTTGTACATTTAAAGGGTTATTAGTGTCATTAATACACATTTACATATTTTAAATATCATCTTATTTATAATAAAAAAAATTAAATAACAATGATATTTATTATCATTATAATCACGAATTAATGGGTCGAGGAAAACTTGTGTAATTAAATGGCCTACTTGCATAAATGCCATTTGAATGAAAAGTTTTTTGATGGATCTTAATTGTACCAAATTTATTTTACAGAGTATTTATAATATCAAATTTAAAAGCCTCCAATTTTCATATCATAAGGTTCTCGAGCAGTTGGTTGTTCCTCAAGATCATTCAATATAAAACCTGGGTCTTTTTGAAAATCCAGGCACAAATTGTCACAGCAAGATCTGTGTCATATCATATTCTCATAATAGTTATTGGCCTGTTTACATCTCTGTCATTAATACTCCAAAACTACATATATCAGATTTTAGTGAATAAGAACTTTGTTTTCTTAATACTTCAGGTGCCACATATGATAAGACACTAATCACTATCGGTGATGGTATGTGATCGGCGGATTTGGTAAACCTAAATCTTCAAGGATTTGAAGAATTTGAAAAATCAAATTTAAAATAATCTGTAAAATTAATTTTATGTATACATATTAATTGTTGATATTTTTTTTTTGATGTTAGGATTTATATTTTTTAATACTTGAGAATAAAATAAATGATAATTAAAATATCGTCCAATTAAATTGATAGAATTCATTAGATGAAAGTGAAAAAGACTCAAAAGAAGGATTTGAAAATAATTGACTTGATGTTGAATTTGTTGTAGACGAATTTGTGAAGAATATGATATTGTAATAAACATTGAAATTAATCTTACACAAATCTCCCTCCTTAATACTAGCGAACCATGCTCACCTTCAAGCTTTGCTAATTGTATTTATATGTTTAAAATAAATGATCGATTTGTAGGAATTTGAGTTCGTTTGTGGTTGAAATTTCTGACCATTATTACAGTTTTGATTTTCTTTATTTTTTTAATAACTCGATCAATATTAAACTCATAGAGATAAAAAAACAACCATTTAGAGTTATCACTCTACTTGTTTTGAATATGCTTGTTAACAAATTATCAATATCTAGGCTATTAGCCAATGGTTAAAGTTATGGATGAATGGACCTATTAGATTTCTTGTCTGTCATAAATGAGAAATATGAGATATTTAACAATTAATTATTAATAATTGTTAATAATTATAATTTTTGAATTAAAGATCTTACATCTATCCATTTATGCATTATCAATTCATGACTTGATATTTATTACTTTTTAATCATATCATTCATTCTATTCACTTACATCATTACCATCATTTCATTTCATTTAGTTCAAGTGTTTATCATTGAAACTTATCAAACATTATTTAATCAAATTTTTTCATTTTAATAAAAATTAAATCAACTTTATTCAAAAATCTTTTTTTTTGCTCAACACAAAAATTGATGTGCTTAAAATTTTTCCTTATTTTTCATTCTTAAAAAATTTTATTATTATAAATATATTTATAAAGATTATAAAGATGGCAGTCCGTAAGTTTTTTTTCACCTTAAATAAAAAAATCATTTGAAATGTACAAAATTTGTTCTTGCTGTATATATATATGCTATACGTATATTTTTAATAGGTGCACAATTCGAAAATAGCAACGAAATTGGTGTATTTTCTCGTTTAACTAATACATATTGTTTGGTTGCGATTGGAGGATCTGAAAATTTTTATAGGTTTGATTTTATTTTTATTTACAAATAAAATAGAATTTATTTATTAATAATTCGTTTATTTAAATTTATTTTTGCAACTATTTTCTTTTGTTTTAGTGTTTTTGAAAGTGAACTAGGTGATGTGATTCCAGTGATACATACATCAATAGCAGGCACTAGAATTATTGGACGGTTAACAGCTGGTTAGCATTAATGGTTTTTTTTTTACAATAATTGTTTTATTCAAATCAAATAACAATACATGATGATAAATTGATATGGTTTTTTAAGGTAATCGAAAAGGACTTCTTGTCCCAAATACTACAACTGATCAAGAGCTTCAACACCTTCGTAATTCATTGCCTGATTCAGTGCAAATTCAGCGAATCGAGGAACGATTATCAGCATTGGGGAATGTGATTGCTTGTAATGACTATGTCGCTCTTGTTCATCCTGATATTGATAAAGAAACTCAAGAAATCATTCGTGATGTTTTAGGGGTAGAAGTATTCACACAAACTATTGCGGGAAATGTGCTTGTAGGTAGTTATTGCGCAATAAGTAATCAAGGCGGCCTGGTAAGTTTGTTGATGTTTATATTTGATATAATTTATAAATCGTTACTTGCATTAATTTAAAATCGTTATTTTTTTCAGGTTCATCCAAGGACTTCTATTCAAGATCAAAATGAATTAACATCTTTGCTACAAGTTCCATTAGTCGTATGTAATTCAAAGTTTATACATATCCTTGATGATTAATTATTAATAATAAATCCATATCTTTATTTGTGTAGGCAGGAACAATAAATCGTGGATCTGATGTGATCGGAGCAGGTCTTGTGGTAAATGACTGGTGTGCTTTTACAGGATTAGATAGCACTTCAACAGAATTATCTGTTGTAGAAAGTATCTTTCGACTACAAGATGCACAACCTACAGCCATTGTCAAAGAGATTAGAGATTCATTGGTTGATAGTTATAGTTAGAATTCATACATTCATATATATATATATATATATATATCTACGCACACACACACATATACATATAAATATGCATACACACACACATATATATATATACCTAGTTAGTCATTTGTGCAAGAACTTTTGTAAATTTAAAAAAATATTATGTTAATTATTATTTAAAAAATTTTTTTTGTGGCTTTGTAGTTACACCAATAATAGTAGAAAGGTTTTTTATTTTTTAAAAAATTGCACTTTTTCACCAAAATGTCAATTACCCTTTCTTTATCAAACAAGGATAAAACTACTAGTCTAGTGTACAATTATCTTTTACCCATTCAACTAGAAGTTAAAGACGCGGCCGATGAAGTAAAAACAATCTTTTATATATAAATAAGACATGAACAAGTTATTTTGTCCTTAAAAATTAAAAATTATTGATTTTATGTAGAATCCTGTTTTAACGCTTGCTGACAATAAAAATATTGTTGGCTCTAATTCAGTTATAATTTATTTAATTGAAAATTTTGGAGAACTAAAACATAAAAATGCCAATGATATTATTGAAGTAAGATTTCTCTTCAATTTTATCAAATTTAAAAAAAAATTTTTATCCATCAATAAAATAATACTTATTATTAAGGTTCAAAAATGGCTCAACGAAACTGATCCACAAATAAATCCTAATTTAAAAAACGTCGCAAAGGTTTGATCATAAAGAAAAAATTTTTTTTAAGTGTTACGTTTATGTAAATAAAGGAGGAAGCCATTGTTCATATAGATTTCGAAAATCAATAGGATTTAAATGATCATTTGGCGCTTCGTACATATATTATTGGAAATTATTTAACTGTAGCTGATTTAGTGGTGTTTTCACGTCTTCATTCTATTATTGTGGGTAAAAAAATTTTTTTTTTCATTATCATCATATATTCTAACAAATTCATAAATCATAATTAAAATTTCACGTTTATCTATTCAATATAAAGGCTGAATTTTCATCGGAAAGCAGATTCGAGTTTTCCAATTTAATACGTTGGTTTGATTTTATCCAGCATACAGCTGTTTCCAAAATAGCTCCTAAACTAGGTTTTAACGTCATAGAATTTAATTTAGAAGCCCCAAAGGTAAATGTTGAAAAAAATTATTTTTTTAAGAAAAAAAGGCAATAATACCAATTCATTGTTTTCAAGTAATAAAAATAACTAACAATGAAAATAAAATTTTAGGTTGATAAAAGTAAGCAACAAACTCAAGATATAAAAAAAGAACAAGTTGAAAAGGCACCCGAAAAAGAATCATCGAAAGTCAATAAAAAAAATGATAAAAAGGCTGATAAAACTTCTAAAAAAGCTACAAAGGAAACCAAAGAATCAACATTAGTAATAACTCCATCTTTACTTGATTTGCGTGTTGGGCACATCATTAAAGCCGAAAAGCATCCTGCTGCTGATGCATTGTATGTTGAACAGATTGATGTTGGTGAGGAAACTCCAAGGACTGTGGTTAGCGGTTTGGTTATGCATATTCCATTAGATCAAATGCAGGTTCTTATTCAACATATTATTATCGTCGTTATAATGATTTTTAAAGTGAAAAATATGAATTGTCATTATTTACAATTGAATTTTGGGATTTTTTAAAAAAAAAGAATCGAGATGTTATTTTGCTTTGCAATTTAAAGCCTGCAGCGTAAGTCTCGTGATTTATTTAATAATAATAATCCTTATAAATACTTTTTTTAAAAAAATTATTTTATTAATTTAAATATTACACAGTATGCGAGGTATTAAATCACACGCTATGGTTCTTGCAGCAACATCACACGAAGGAAAAGTTGAATTAGTTGATCCACCAATTGGATCTAAACCGGGAGATCGCGCATTTTTCGACGGTTTTGAAGGTTAGAAAGATTGTTAATTTATTATGTATCAATTTGCTAAATATTATTTCATCAAACTAAATATTGATATATCTTTTTATCAGGCGTTCCGGAGCCTATTTTAAATCCCAAGAAAAAGATATGGGAAACATTACAACCAGGTTTATTAACTACAGCAAATAAAGAAGCTTCATGGGTTAACAGTGAAGATAAAAGTGTTCATCTTCTTAAAACTGAAAAAGGTCTCTGCACTGTACCAACTGTTGTTAGTGGAACAATAAAATAAGTAATTATGCAATAAAATTGTATGTATATATTGATTGTATTGACGTAGTCTTGTAACATTAAATTTTTTATAAAAAAGTAATAAACTTTGATGATCCATCATCATCCACAACATTTTTTTTACGCGTAAAATTTATTATTGTTATAAATAAAAATGGCCACGGAAGAATCTATATTAACATCTTTTCTTTTAAATAGTGAGCTTCAAGATAATATTACTTTTAAACAGTTTACTAATCTTTTTCCTACAAGTTATAGGTGATAACAATTAATCAATTTTATTTATTTTAAATTGTAATTTGCATCTCTAATTTAAATTTTTATTTTGTTTAGAACCAATCCAAATATTATAAAATTATTCAGAGAAATTCAAAGTAATCGTCATAATATTAGAGAAACAGTTAAGAACAATATTATTGAAGAATGTAAAAAGCATGAGAAATTGGATCTTCAAAAATTTAAAAAAAAGATTTTAAATCTTGATGATAATGTTTTTGATGGGGTAGGCAAAGAAAACAAAATTTTTTGAGGGAATGTCATATTATTATTATTATTGAAATGAAATATTTGTTATAATTATTAATAATAACAACGATTAGGTTGATGAAAAATGTTTAACAATTGATCAAGCAATAGAAAAATTGACAATGGCGAATAAGAATATGATCGAAGAAACAAAAAATATGAAAAAAGAAAATTTAAACTTATTAGAAAATATTCAAAAGTAAAGAAATCTTTATACATTTATTTAATTGTTAAAATCAATTTTATTATTATTATTATTAATCCAAATACATATTATTTAGAATAAATGAAGATGTAAATGATTTGAATAGTAGGTTAAAACCAATAAGTAAATATATGATCGAAGAAATTAAAAAAACAAGAAAAGAAAATTTAAAATTATTTGAAAATATTCAAAGGTATATTATTATAAATACAACAATTTAATTGTCATCATCATCATTATTATTACTACTACAGATGATAATAAGGTTTTTTTAATATTCAGAATAACTCAAAAATTATACGTGTCAAATAATCAGGATTAACCAAAAGGCCACATTACAATACCATCATTTAACAAGAATTAAAAACTGCAAATATAAGAAATATTATAAGAAATATAATAAATAATTACAATGAATAAATTTACTCATCAATTCTTTTTCTTTTACTACTGTTACTAAAATCTAAAAAATATCACTAGTAATAATTAATTTCCAATTAATTAATAATGAAATTTTTATTCACCTTTGTTAACATTTAAGAGAAAAGAGTTAAGTAAAGATTATTTAACGAACCATCATTTCTCCCATAACTTTTTAAGCTTTCGATGTAACAATCCCTTCATCTAATCTTTTATTTGTATGATATTCACCTGGATGTGATTTGTGTACTTGTTGCGAAACATTAATAATGAAATTTAATGAACTATCAATATTCGTATAACCAACTTTGCGATGCATGATGTCATGTGCTTTATCCATCAGGAAAGCTTTTTTGTATGTGTACATCAGATTTAAAGGTTGAAAAAGTAGATAATTTTTTAATATTTTATTGGATTAATTTGTTTGACTATTAATTACATAAACTACCATTTTGCGAAAGTATAAATTTATTTACTAAAAATGTCACACTTATAAAATAATCCAACAGGCATGACTGGCATGTGCCTAAAATGTTGAGGTGCAGGCACTGGCACAGGCAGAAGCACTGGTGCTAAATCAAAAAAAGGGCATTTGGCACTAGTGCCTGGCATGGTGCCAACAGTGCCCAGCATGGGCACTTGCAGAATCCTACTCCTGATCTTCCTGCCTATCAAGTCAATATTTCGATTTCAGATATTTTCTGGGATTCCTGAATTGTTGCGAGAGCTCCAAATGTTAGGGTTATAATATTATAGTTCTTGATATAGTTGTCAGCAATAATTTTGCCATTGATTTATATAATATTCAACAAGAGGTTTTAGCTTCACAAAGTGTGTAATTTACAATATATTTGTTAGTGATGTTAAAGTACTGTGTCTCCCCTGGTTAGGGTGTCCAGGATTATGCTTTCGCATAAATCGCTGCACACTTCTTAATTTTTGAGCATAATCGCATAATTGAGCATTTTTGGCATAATCACATAATCTACGTGTGTAATTTATTTTTATGTAAGTGATCGACGATGATTATATATATATATATATATACCAAGGCCATGCATAAATGAAACTTTTAATAATGCGTGTCTACCCAGATCTCTGGGATTCACAATAATAAATTATTCTTCATGATTATCAATTATGGTTCCTTATGAATAATAAATCTGATGTTGATTGCAGGTGTCAGATTTAATTGAAATTTCCTATCACAAACATGCAAATACCCTTTATAACCATGGGAATTTTTTCCTAAGGGTAAAGTCCATCACATGTTGGAAGGCTTTGGACAAAACATTCCCTTATCTTCCCCTCAGACCAGGCTTGGCTGTTATCAAATGGGGCATTGATCACTGATAGCTGGTGCTTGTGTGATGATTGCTTTGTGTTATTGCCACACTAGCATAAAAGTTGGCAACTGCAACTGGTTGAAAATTCTCCAACTCTGGAGTTCCAACCTGGGTTGCTGTTTTGAATTCAGAGTTTTGAGTCCTGGGTTGCTGTAATTTTTATGAAAAGAAAAGTATTAATATTTAACAATTAATTATTTAAATGTTTATTTTGTTGAAAAAAATATACATTGATAGTGTACATTTTCTGTGCTTAACATCAATGTGACCCTAAGTCTGGACAAAAGATCCCTTTCTATGAATTTGGCTGGTATATCTCAAAGGTGTCTCCTGTCTTGTCAGTGGCATGCCTACTTGCCAACAATCCTACCCCATTCAAAAAACAAGTTCAGTTGGTCAGATAAAAAATTAAAGAGAAGCAGAAAATTTGGGAAATGATTAATTTATAACATACCAAACAAAATCCGAACCATTTTATGACTTTTTTCTTGTTGGCCACATTGCTGACAAGGATGTATATAATTGTGCAATAATTTTAACCTACAGGACAGAGAACTGATTGGGCAAAAACCCAATCCAGTCCCCTACTCAAAATCATAAATTGGTTAGTATCAGAGAAACAGAGAATTTAGGAAATGATTATACAAAACAAACACTATTTTACAACTTTCCTCTTAACATCAGAGAGCACAAATGCAATTTCAGGGCCACCAACCCTGCTCTAAATTGCATACTGTGCTTGAAACAAGTTGCAGTTTCTCTTGATATTCCTCCAGAGTTGCAACAGCTTGGTCACAGTGCCATCCTTACCTAGAGGTGGGATCGTTGTAGGCAACTTTTCGGCCAGCGTGCCAGCAGCCTTCTCTGGTCTGGGAAGATTAGTGAAAGTGTCATTGATGATGCAGTCTTGATAAACTCCAGGACCATGGGCCCCTCCCCTGGAATTTGGTTGCATCGTTGTATCATTGAGCGAAACTTGGCCAGATTAGCCTTGTGTACATGAGGAATGTGAGAGAATGACTGTAATGTTCAAGGTAGCGTGTGTGCTTCAACGTATCTAAAAATTTCCGATAATCAAACATTGCATATTCGAAATGTTTCTTTTTCAACAGTGTGCTGTCTTGACATCTTGTAATTATATAATTACAATAATAGTATTATATTACAATTACGCAAAGCAAAATATTATCAATGAAAATCTTGTAATTACCCAGCAAGATCTGCTCCGCGTTTTGATTTCAATTAAAATACTTATAAACTGAAATAAAAATATCAATACAAATTAAAATAAAGTTACCTCTGGTTAGTTATTAACACTTCTTCTTTAGGAGACCCAAACCAAACCAAACAACAACACTCACGTTTTGTCACCTTGGACTCTGTCAAAAAAAAAAAAAAAAATCAATTCGCGTCTGTCCTACCAAAAAAAAACCAATAGGATAAATAATAGGCGTGTACACGTCGATCAAATCACAAAAAAAATGCCACGCCAACAAAAAAGAAGTGAAAATGATACTCGAGGTGGGGGAAGTGGGCAAGGGTTTTAAGGATGGTGGCGGTGGTTATTGCCCACCACTCGTCGTCACTCTAGTTTATCATTATAATTGCTATTACCTTTTAATTTATTTTATGACAAATTGTTTAATCACTTTGTACAGAAAGAATGATGATAATACACAAGACCTTCTCTTACTTGACGTTGTGCTACTTTTACTTGGTATGGAAATAGTTGATGATGCTTATTACTATTATATATAAATTTATAAAATTTTAGTATTATTAATATTAATTGATTCAATCGATATTACATCAAATAGAAAAAGACGCGTCCTTCGATGAGTATTTACGTTTTTTTTATAAAAAACTTTTTCCTTACAAGTTATTTTTTCGTTGGTTAAATCATGGATCAGGTATTATCATCATTTTGTAAATAATGATGATAATGATAATGGTTTTAATTATTACAATTATTGATAATGAATGACATACACAGTGAGTCTCGGTATAGCGGACCTCGGTATAGCGGATAAATTTTCAAAACCAAATTTTTCTATAACAATTTTATCTCGGTTTAACGGATTTAATGGATTTTTCATATACATTAAATATGTACAGCAAAAAAATTTTAGATGTTGATTTTCAAGTAATTAGAATGTCAAAAGATTAAAAAGTGAAATTTCTTACAAAAATTCTCAACAAGTGCAAACAATAATGGAAGATTATTATAATGTCAACGTTTTAAGTGAATGAATTGTTTTTTTTTAAATTTTTTACTAAATGTATTTTTATTATCATCATTATTATTTGCATTCATATTATTTAAAAATAAAATTATTTACGCAACATGTATCACATGATTTAATCAAAAATTCGATTTTTTTATGGATATCTCGGTATTGCGGATGACTCGGTATAGCGGATAAATTTCCTGGAACAAACATATCCGTTATACCGAGACTCACTGTGTACTAATTATAATCATAATAATGATGATTCTTTAAGACGGAAAGTCATTTTGTAATCGTGAATTTAGTTATACATTGAGGTCAGGTGTATACATAAGATATTGTTCATATAATAATATCGAAGAGTTCAAAAGTGATATTTCGAAAAAATGCCCAGCAAAAATTGATATTGGAGCAATTTATACTACAAGAGTAAATAAAACTTTGATTAATAATGACCACAAGGAGAGGAAAAAAGGTTGATCAACAAATAATTAATCCATTATTATTATTTTTTTTTTTTTAAAAAAAAAATAAAGCCAGCAGATAAGAAAACCTCTAAACCATCAGAATTTAAACCGATTAAAAAAGAGGTGGTGTTTGATATTGATTTGAAGGACTATGATGATATTAGAACTTGTTGCAGATAATGTGTATATGTGTGGTTTTATATGAATATTTATACATTTGTGTATTTGTATATTAAATTTATCTATTACATTTTATTTAAAGTGGTGGTGATATTTGCTCAAAATGTTGGAAATTTATGATAATTGCAATCAAAATAATTGATGCTGCATTAAAAGGTTAAACAATCACTCAACCTTTATTTTTTATATGATTTTTGTGATTAAAAACTTGATTCATGTGACTCACATAATTCACATGTGATTTTTCTGTAATTCTAACATTTAGAGGATTTTGGATTTAAACATTTGTTGTGGGTGTATTCAGGTAGATGTGGTATTCATTGTTGGTTTGTGATGAGTCAGCCAGGACATTAAACAATAGTGAAAGAAAGGCCATCACATCTTATCTGGAAATCATTAAGGTTTGCCACCTACATGTGTACATGTGATTATATATATTTTCTCATTAATTTATCATTTTTCATATATACACACAATAGGGTAGTGCACAAGTGGAAAAAAAATTAATCTTAGACAAATGCATCATTTGCATCCTTTCATAAGGTATTTTGTTTACAACTTGAAATATACATGTATATTACTGTATGATGTTCATACTTATAAATAAATAAATAAATAAATATATATATATATATGTAATTAGACAATCCTTAGATACAGTGAACCAATATTTTGATGATTTAATATTGAAGGATCAAGATGTTTTGAAAGATGAAAGTTGTTGGAACAAAGTTTTAGGGTGTATTCCTAATGAGGGTAAATATTTAATCAGTAATCACCAAAAGAGGAATTGAGGAAAAGATGGTGATGTTTTTCTTTTTTTCATATTTTTTTCAAGTATAGAAACAAGGAACACTTTAAAGAATCGTTGGTCTGAGAACCCTTCACAAACATCTTGGATAGATAGAAATATCTGGTGAATAAGTTGAATTCTGCCACAGGCAAAAAGGGAAAGGGAAAGGTAATAATGATGATAAATGTTTGCTTCATTGTTTGTTAATTAGTTATATTATAATTTTTGGAATTTCATTACCATTATTTAGTTTACTAGAGACAAAGTAGGATGTTTGCTGAGGGAAATCATTCTTCAATATACATACCCAAGACTTAATGAGACAGTATCAATAAACATTAATCATTTATTGAAAACTCCATTTTGTGTACATCCTAAAACAGGCAAATATTCAATTAAAATGATGCCATAATATCCAATGATATATGTATAATAAATGCAAATAACAATTGTAGTTGTTTTATTTGTTAAGGAGGGTGTGTGTTCCAATTCCACCAGAAACTTGTGATGACTTCAATCCATTAAATGTCCCAACAATCAAATCACTCAAAGAGCTGGATAGATTTGGTAAGGAAAAATCCATGATTGTAGGTGATTAAATTAGAAAAAATATAAAAATATATTGTATATAACATCATTTGTTTATTTATATTTTTGTTCCCAAAAGGTTATGAGAAAATATCATTAAATTCACATATAGAATATTTTGAACATTTTGTTCAAAATATAGAAGCTGGAAAAAGAGATAAATTAGTAGCATTATTTATTGGATTTTATCTTAAAAAAAAAGGAAAGAAAAATTATTTACTAGAAAAACAAACCACACATGGTAATAAATAAAAATTGTATCTTTGCAAATAAAAAAATTAAATGATAAACTTAGCATATTTTTCTGTTATTTGATGTGTTCATGAAATCACAGAGGTTTATAAAATTATCTTCAAGTTCTAATCAGATTCCATGTTATTTGGTATTTGAAATAACAAATATAAATAGAACCAAATCAATTTATCCCCCAAAAAAAATATATAATATTTACACAAATTTACACAAATTTAATGATTTCCTGATGTTGGCTTGTAGGATCAAAAGACAAGTCAGGAAAGCATTTACAGCCCTAGCTGAAGTCGATTTACACAACAACTAGATTAAAAGAAACACTTGACAGGATGATGACTCTTTAAAAAGTCTTGCAAGGAAACTCTTTTTCCTTACATCAAAATTCAAGTTAAAAAAAAAATGTTTGATCCCTGAAATTTTTGATAATACCAATGTTCACTTTGTCTGGTTTTGTTGCAGTATGCCCCATATAATATATGTTTTCTTGGTAATTAACAATTAACAATGTCATTTCAAGCCTGATCAAGAGAAGTATAAAGCTTTCAACAATAATAACTTAATTTTTTTGCATTGGTTGTTCAAAAACTCTTGTGTATAAAGTTTTCTATGTAAAGTTCTCTTTTTTACTATGAAATGTATGACATTTTTTAATTTAGGAGTGGAGGGAGACAGTTTTGGAATTAGAAGATCTGCAAATATCTATATGTGTAACATTGTGTTGTCTCCCATATATTTACTTACCCCCAGTGTTGGAAATTCGTCGATCTTATGATCTGCAAAAAAAAATTTGTGCACATATGAACACAAGAAATTTTTATTTAAATAAAATTCGTAAAATTACAAATTATAGAAATAAATAGTTCTATGAATTAATTCTCCTATTTTTTTTATCTTCCCAATATTCACATGCTTTCTCAAAATTAAAGTCTTCAATTTCAGGTCCATTTAGTAAAATCATCAAATGATTATTTAATGTATCAAGATTCATTTTGTTCCTTAATTTATTCTTAATCAACTTTGTCTGGGAAAATATTCTTTCCACATTAGCATTTGAAAGAGGTATAATAAGAGATATTTTAACTAAAAGGGATATATTTGGGTAATTAAATGAAAAGTCCTCATCTGTGTCAAAAATGGATTTCCAGAAATTAATAAAATCTAGCTCATTAGATTTATTAAGCTGGAGAATATATTTTACTAAACACCATTCTTCAAAAAGTTGGTTCTTATCAATAATTTCTTGAAATTCTTCCCCATCTACAAATTTAATTTCTCCATAAAATTCACTAAGAAATTCTATCTCTCTATTTCCATATAAATTTAGTTGTTCATCATCATCTGGAATTTCTTTTGGATCAAAGATGCTAAATGAGCTATATAATTCTGTTTGTGGAAATCTTTTTTGAATAGCATCAATTATTGCAATTGAATACTCTTTAATAAATGGTGGAGAATCAAAATTATTCTTATTTAAATATTCTTTGAAAATGAGACCATTGTTAGATGGAAATTGTTCATTATCAATGAATTCATACTCTATTTCATTGATTGTGTTGTTGAGGCTTTTTTTAAATTGAGATAATGATAAAAAATCTAATTGGAAAGTGTTAATCAATTTTTTTAGAATATTTGTTAAGTCAGCCAAGTACATAGTTGCTAAAATAAAATCTTGATCCAACTGATCATACAATAATTGGGCATGCTTATCACCTTCATTAACATAATCATCAAGAGTTGCAAGTACTGAATCCATGATTTTATACAAATTGCTAACAGAATTAGAAAAGGACAACCATCTTGTATCACATAAATTTAATATCTTTAGTGGTGGTTCATCATTAATATCCTGCATCATTCTTAACATGCTTTGTCTCTTATGTGATTTGGAAAAAAATGCATACAAATTTTTTAAGGTTTTCTCATATTTTTCAAAATATAATACTTCATTTGAAGCATCTTTTCCAGCCAAATGAAGTCTATGTGATACACAATGATTAGATGACAT